TTGTTGTCCTCTGTACGATTGTTCTCATAGGAGAAATTTAGTCAACACCCGATGTAAAGAATACATACGATTATTCCCTGGCTATTATTCTCTATTTATTCTGTCCCCATTCTCATCAATCCAAATCCGTTGCTGTCGATCCCACTCACTCTTTTCTACACCCCGTCAGCGTTGAGCACTATTCCTGAATCTATGGACGAGTCCGAATCGACCACGAATGCAGCAACCCCGATCGCTGTCACTGAGTCTACGCACACTGCTTATCGTACAATTATAGACCCTCTGTTACCTCCGGATTGGGCCTATCTCCCAATCATCTGTCATTACACACGAGGCAAATTGCAATCCTCCTCTGGTCTGGACCAGTTACAGACCCAATCGGGAACTGAGGTACGGTTTAAGTCTGGTCGGTAATTTCTACCCATCCTCGTCAAACCGTTTGCTGCTCCACCGCATACGATTTTTCTCGGTCGATATCATCCCCACGAGATCACCCTCCTCCTATCTGTATCAAAGTATCAGACTCGATATTTTTCTTCCCTTCTCCATGGATACTTTTGAACAGTAGTCATGAAAGACAGACCGAATTCCCACCAGGTTACAGTCACAGCAATTTTGATTTGTCGCTCCCCATTTTTGTGAAAATTTTTATCTTTTTCTTTAAATACGATAGAACGGTTTGTGATAGCCAACAAAAACCACTGAACAACTGTTTCGTCCTGTTTGGGACTCGCATTCAGCGAGTGGTGAATTAGCGATCTCCCAGTTAGTTAGTAAACCTCACACCCAACATCATCAACAGTGCCGGGTGCCTGTGAAAAACCGAATGAACTAATCTATGTCTCTGGTTATTCAATAAAGTAAGAAGTAAAAATAAAGAAACAGAGAACAGCATCGCGTTACACACACATAGACATGAATCACAATGTTTTAGTGACGCCTCATGCATTGTTGTGCACTGACCGTCTTCATCGTCCAGCTGCAAAGATCGTGTGGCTCAACTATCTCTGAAACCTTTTTTGGCTTCCGCTTCATCGGTAACGTTTCTCATAAATATGTCACTCCGCCAGAGGTTATTGTATTCGCACACCTCTGATCAAGCGATGAAGCACTACGATGNCCAGTGGCGGTGTTCGCAACTAGTGATCCATTCAATCCATTCCATCCTGTTTAGGTTTTACATGCTTAGAATTAGTTTTTATGAATTGTTCTAATTGAGTAATCCAATGACGGAAAGTAGCAATGCAATGTGAAGTCAGCTGATAACTTCGTTCGTGCGTCTCTTGGACATAGGCAAATGCATGTGTCAGACTGAAAAACTTTATTGTCCCTCCCCAGGTCTACACGCTGGACCCTAAATATGTCACCAATCTCGATGATTTAACAGCCGGTCGGTATTGTTTTTGCCTGCAACTCCATCACTGACGATTGCACAACGTGAAACGGCGGCGAGCACCCATCAATCCAGGCTTTGCGTAACCTATACTGGACTGGACTGCGATACTTGTTGTTCACGAGATCTGTTCCTATTTTGACGGTCCTGCACGTTGTGTCAAGGTGCCGGTTTTTCCTATGCTTAAACTGGTCTATTCACTCCACCATTGTGAGCTTGTTAACGATCGGCACTGTTCATTTCCCTACCGTATTTTGCTGTGTTTTCATACTAATGGTGATGACATCAGTTGTCCGTCAGGTTGCTATCGGAACCCTGTGAACCAAACCCAATTTGCCTATAGTTTTTTTTAATTAACACGAAACTCGAGGCTATAACAATGTCACACTAAACCCTTTGCAGTTCATCTATGGAAGAGGGATTGGTCAAAAACCCTGATTCCGACCTACGCCCATACACCTTACTGATTACGGCTGTGGTCAACGAGATCGATTGATCATCGAGATGTATTGGATACCTTGGACGTTTGAACCCTTCCAAAGGGCACGTGATCCAATGATCTGTATCCCGAAACCCAATTGATTGTCATTTTTCTTAGAGCGCCTTGTCCTCTAGCCATTGAGACTTTGGTTAACCGAGTGCTACTGGTAATGAATCCATTCGAAAATTCAACTGTCTTGATCTGGGCAAACTAGCAGCATCGGTTCCTCCGCTTTGCGACCTTTGTTTTCTTGTCTCATGCGCACAAAAATAATAATAAATGTCTTTTTACTTCCTTTTTCTATTAAATATACAAATGTACAGTCAACTTTCAGGAAAGAGGCTACGGCAATACAATGGCTGCCTATGGAAAATACAGGTATAGGAAAGACGGGTGGCGTTGGAGCGGTTTGAAACCGGGACACCCAGGTCATTAGTTGATGACCTAACCACTTGACCACTCCCGCCCAACTGTCTTGGAAACTTGGTGTACGTCAAACTAAATGAACATTTCTTATTACAAGTCTTGTTGGTTTGTCCTCCCCCCTCCCCCCTTACCCTCGCAGGTGGTTCTTCATGAGTTAACCAATGCTTTGCGATGGCTGTTTCATCTTGTGCAAGCCAAAACACCCACCGGTTCCGGTGTCACAACCCTACCCTCGGCTGGACTGATGGATCCGTTATCCCATTTCGCGCGTCTCTGTATCGCCTGTCTCGCCTATCCCGGTGCCGGAGGTCTGGGTTTTGGTGAATCGGGTCGTTTGCTAGCTCAGATGATCAGCCGACTAAAACTTATCGGTCGATTACGTGATTGCCCCCTCGTCATTCGTTCGTTGGAACATGTGAACCTCCCGGAACAGTGTGCTTCGTTTTACGACCTGTGAGTTTCGCCCGCATGCATGTGCATTTGTTAGGAACGTATCATTCCAAATTTTCGCTATTGTTGCGATACGGTCACTTTGAGATTAGGTCCCTCTAATATAAGAGACGTCCCGAATAACGGACAGATTTCATCCAATGAAATTGTTTTATCTCACCCAATCTTCAACCTTCAAATGCCCGTTTCCCACTCCCCAAACAGCCGATTTGTCGGAGGCACAAGTCATACTCAAGGGCGTGCAGCTGCGTTACACTTCAACGGGGAAAATGGGTTCATTGATCTATGACAAATACTTATGAAGTTTTTCAATGTATTTACCGAAATGGTTTTGGTTTGTTGGTCGAGTGTTACAGGATTTTTTTTCTTTCTTTCTTTTGCGTCCCCCTGCACCCCACCCCACCCCGGCCATCCTCTACCTAGTTATACGGATTTGTTGGGACACTATGCGGCTCTATCGTACAGCTCGCCCGTGTTTGCGAATCTCATATTGTGGCCTTGTCAACAATTGTGTCACATGAAATATCGACGTGCTTTGTGGGGAGAATACCAAAGCGCGCTGGTCTCGGTTCGCCTACGTTGCGATCAGGTGAGTGTGTTTAGCACGTCTATTCCTTCTCTCTCTCTCATACACACACATGTGCCAGGTTCAAACAAAATGATATGTGGTTTCATTTGTACCAAACATGCATTGTGTTTATGGGGGGAAATGCATTTCTAGGTTCATGTTCAACTTTTTTTAGTTTGTTTTTGTCGAATACAGGGTGGCTTTTCACAATCGTAGATCATGCCTGAAAGGTCAATGAATAGAGACCAGAGGATGCTTAGTCTCACAAAGCCAGCTGCTTTGGAATCTCTTGGCTTCCTTCTTCTATCTACATCCGCTATTGAAGAGGTCACTCCAGCAAAAAACAACACGAGGGATAGTTTACCGGTAGGAGTGGGGTACCTGGGGCTTCCTCTCGACGGTGGGAAAAGTCTTCGCACTTTACTGGACAACTATCGCCCCCCCCCGTCTGGGCAGCATCCAGCGGATAGGGTGCTGTCCCGTCCACTTTCCGGTTGTTTCATTGGGTGCATGGGACTAAGGCTCAATCCCGAACAGTGGACCGACAGTCTACACACCAGTGAACAACACAATTATTCGAAATTCAAAGGCCTTGAATGACAGGTCTCTAGAAGCTCTCACGCGGGTGCTTCGTTCACGCTTCCGCGTTAAATCTACGCCCCACTGCTTCCTGGGGCAGATTTTTGAGTCTCTAAGGCTCCGGTTAGGGTTCTCGAAGAAAAATCCCTTCGTCAGTGAGGCCTGCCGCGAAGTATGTCGTTCTCTAAAGTCTTGGGTACCCATTTGGATGCACCTATTTCCCTCAAACTGTAACATGGTTTATTCCTAAGTTGAGGATTGAGGCTGGTCATTTTTGACGAAGATCGAAAACGACTGATTTTCACTTTCCCCGCTCTCTGATTGTCACAATCGGTCCCTGTGGTCTACTGTAATTTCTATCAGATCGTTTGTCAAGCTGCGCAATACGTGACAAAGTGGTCTTGTCACGGTTGGAAACCAATCGGTGTCTATTGCGAACAATCGGTCTAGTCACGCTAATCAATTTTCTCATAAGAGATCATTCAGTTGTCCGTAGTTGGCGCAAAAGTGCAGTGTCAATGGAGCAGTTTGTTTTTAGAGTGAGTAAATCACTTCAACGATCTACACCAATCATTGACAAAACATTGTGCTCGTCTATCAGACGTGTTTGAAACGCATTATTCCAAAACAGCAAATCTGTTTAGACAAACAAAGCAGTGATCATATCAAATCTGATTCCTCGTTCTGTGCGGTTAATGCTAGAGAAAATACAAATTGGTGATTTTACTTGGTCTCTGTAATCTCTGATCCGTATTGATCCCAGGAAAATATGCACACAGTTCACGTATTCAGTGCAAACGCTATCTGTATATCCTCAGTACAATCAACACTTCTAATCCTAGTGATGAGCTCTCTGTTCCAATTCTCTGATGCTAGACTGTTGCATAGCATATCATCTTCAGATGTGTACCGTACGTATCGACCTAAATCAGCATTTGTCGATCACTGTCTATGATTCATGAACCTGAATGGAAGAACTGTTGCGTCACTCAGTTCACACTATGGTATGAGGCATTCAACGGTCATAAGGGACTCAGCTGTTTTTGTTGTTGTTGAAGCCCGAAGTATGACAAACGGTCTTGACTACACTCACACACTCCCAGGGCTGGGGATATGGTACATAATCGAAATCACGTTTTACCCGAATTCCCCCGCCCACCCGCTCTCCTCCCTTCGGAACTGGGTTTTGTTGTAAATAAGCGATCAGTTGCACTCGAATACCCGCAGCNNNNCCCGCAGCAGAGAACAGCAACTGAAATAATCAAAGGGTTACAATCTAAGACTTACGATGAAAGGCTGCGGATTCTCGTACTCTATTCGTCTGAAAACCGTCGGATACGATGAGACATAATCCTCGCATATCAACTACTACATCAACCTAATCACCTGTGACGCTGTCCAGGAATGGTCACGTCCGAGGACATCCGTTTAAACTTCTGCTCCAAAAGAGCCGGCTCGATTGCATGCGTCATTGTTTCAGCTTCAGAGTTTGTAACATCTGGAACTCTTCCAACTCAAGTTGTTTGTGCACCAACCATTGAATCATTCAAGTCACTACTGGATGAAGTATTGAACCACCTAACTATTCAGTACCGGTGAGTGAACGCCAGAATTTGCTATTCAATTGTACTACTAACCGAACCCAGTTTGTGTACAGATCCTATGGGATTCAATAAGCATCAGCCTTGTGACTTAACCATGATAAAAATTTGAATCCTTTGCATTCAAGTGCCCGCTTTTTGTCTGTCTGATCTTTCGTTATGTAGATTTTCTGTTTCACACTGTAACGTAACTTGGTATTTATTTTGGTACCTAGACAATCTTTAACAGTGACGTTTTTCATCTCGATCAACACAGAATTTCGGATTGATATTTGAATAAACAAAACGAGCCTGACTGGGTAAACAAGAATGGTATATAATTTGTAGCAGTAGCAGCGAACG